CCCGCCACCGCGGCCGCCGCCGTCGCCGCCGCCGCCGTGCTGCTGCTGGCCGGCGCCCTCTGGTGGCGCGGCGCCCACGAGCCCGCTGTGCCCGCCGCCGCGGCCGGCGTCGCGGCGCAGTCCGCCAGCGCGTGGCTGTTGCGCGCGGCCGGCAGGGCGCTTGTGATCTATGTATACCGCCCCACAGACGACCCCGAGGCCCCCAATAACTTCAATTATTTCGTCCTGGCTGCGATGCTTGACGATACCAGATGCGATTACGTTGTCCTAGTCAGCGCCGCGGACGAGGTGGGGCGGCGCGGGCATGAATGGAGTGCTGCATGGGGCTTCTGCCATGCCTATGCGTCCTCATGCATGCGCGCATGCGGACGCATGCGGATGCGCCTGCAGTTGCACATGCAGGTGCTCGTGCGCACGCATGCATGGCGCCCAGTAACGCCCCACGCAAGCATGTGCTCGCACGCCCATATGCTTGAAGCATGCGCTGCCAGAACCTTGCGTTTTTGGGCTCGATTGACAGGGCGCCCCTCAGTACGCCCCTGCGGCTTCCGCTGCTTTTGGGTGTGCCTGATGCACACCCTCTCACGTGCATGGGGATCCCGCACGGCTACTGCCAGCCTCACCTTTGCCCCCTCCCCCCGCACCCGCCCAACGCCCACCCCAACCCCCTCCAGGGCTCCCCCCTGCTGCCCCAGCTGCCGGGCTCCGCGCGCTACCTCTACCACTCACAGCCCTGCTACGACTGGGGCCTGGTGGGATGGTGAGGTCCCCGCCCACCCCCTTCCCGTCGAATGCAGCTGTTTCGAAGGGTTTCAAAGCGACAGCCTGCACGTATCGCAGATGCACCCGTCGATCCAACGACGCGCCGCCTGCTGCGCATGACCACTCCAACTCGTCTCGACCTCAGGGCGCTGTCCCCCGAGGGCGGCCGCGTGGATTGGACGCGCCACTCGCGGTTTGTGTTTGTGTCCAGCGGCGTGCGGGGGCCGTTCCTGCCGCCGTACCTGCAGCCCTACCTGCATTGGGCAGACCCACTCCTCAGGTGCGGGGGGTGTGGGCGGCCGCCCACCGAGCTGGGCTGCGTGCTGGCAGGGTTGCCGGTCTTCAAGAGGGCTCTGCCATGCTGCCCCAGGACTAGGGACACGCAGCCCGACCCAGCCGATGCGGCCGCAGCTCACCGCCACCGCGGCACCAGCCGTGGCTGCCATGCGGCCGGCTTGCGCCCGGCCCCTTCGATTGGAGCAGCTGCGTGGTGCAGAGGTCCGTGACTCGACTGCCAGCCACACACTGCCCGGTAGCGCAGAATCCCGCCCATCAAAGCAATCACAGACCCAACCCCACACGCTCGGACACGCGTGTTGTCACCCAACTTTCAAGCCTGCCTCTGCCGTCAACGCACCCGCAACTCAGCCATCCAGTCACCTGCCACCTTTTCAGCCGGCTACCTCCACCTGAACCCAGAACGTGCACAGCATGCAGCACCCACCCCTGGACTCCCAGCCCAGCCCCCTAATCCCCACCCGCCCCCCC